TAATGTGGTTTCCCTTTTGGGGAAGTAGTATATTTGGAGAATAGAACTATTGTTTGATTATTTGCTGAGTTGGGCAAGAAGGGGTTGTGTAGACCCAGCCATGAATCAATTGTACTGATTGCTTAATAGTGTTGACATGGCAACAAGCCAATCAAAGTCCTTTTTCCTCAGCTGGAAATGGTGAGACCAGAAATGAATCTGGAATTTTGGGGTAGGAGGGATCAGAGAAAGCACCCTCTTGTGCTTACAACAATAACATAAATAAACAACGAAAACTTACTTGCCATTACGACCAGCCTAGTCCCACTTCCAAAGGTGGGCTTATCAGAGCCAGCAGTATACACAATGGTTTCCGCCTTGACAAAAATGTGTCTTCCTATTTGTATCAGCAAATATAAATTTCTTTTGAAAAACGAAATCTCTAGACTTTAGGATTAAAAAGTCGAGGATTGCGGCTACTGGAAATCTGAAGGATCATTTGCATGTCTCCCATTTTCTCTTTCTAATGTAACCATGTCATTATATCATTATTCCATCAACCATGAATGAAGTTTTATTTATTTTATGCCTGGAAGGTGGAAACCCCAGAAGTACCCCTCCTACTTCCCCAAAGGGGGACTGACAATCACAAATGTATATTAAAAGTTTATGTCATCTCCAAACCCCACAACTTACAAAGCCACAATATGGTTTATCTGTTGAGCATCTAACATACTGGAGAACATAACAATTGTTTGATGATTTGCTTAATAGTGTTGACATGGGGGGAGGGGGCAACAATTCAAATCAAAGTCCTTTTTCCTCAACTGGAAATGGTGAGGCCAGAACTGAATCTGGAATCTGGGGGTAGGAGGGGTCAAAGAAAGCACCCTCTTGCACTGACTAAAATAGCATAAATAAAGAACATAAACGTACCTGCTATTATGACCAGCCTAGTCCCGCTTCCAAAGATGACCTTATCAGAGCCACTAGTATACACAATGCTTTCTGGCTTGACAAAAACATGTCTTCCTATTTGTATCAGCAAATATAACTTTCTTCTGAAAAGCCAAATCTCTAGACTTTAGGATGAAAATCTCAACAACTGCAGCTACTGGAAATCTGAAGGATCATTTGGATGTCTCCCACTTTCTCTTTCTAATGTAACCATGTCATTACATCATTATTCCATCATCCATGAATGAAGTTTTATTTATTTTATGCCTGGAAGCTGGAAATACTAGAAGCCCCCCTCCTACGTCCCCAAATGGGGAACAATTACAAATGTGTATTAAAAAATTATGTCATCTTCAAACCCCCACAGTTTACAAAGCCATAATATGATTTATCTGTTGGGCTGAAGAACATAACAATTGTTTATTTGCCAGGTTAGGATCTAAGGGGTTGTGTGAACCCAGACATGGATCTACAGCACTGATTGCTTAATACGGCTGACATGGGGTGGGGGGGCAACGTTTCAAATGAAAGTCATTTTTCCTCAACTGGAAATGGTGAGACCAGAACTGAATGTGGAATTTTCTGCAAAGCATGCTCCTCCAGATTCCACTACATTATATAATATTGGAGAAGGGGAGCAAGGAAAGCACCCTCTTGTGATGACTACAATAGCAGAAATAAAGAACTAAAACTTACTTGGCATTATGACCAGCCTGGTCCCACTCCCAAAGATGACCTTAGTGTACCCGTCTGTAGACACAGTGCTTTCTGTCTTGACAAAAACATGTCTTCTTATTTGTATCAGCAATTATAACTTCATCCTCAAAGAACTCTGGAAGTTTATGCTCACTCTCTCTCTCAATCTCTTCCCAGTGTAACCATGCCAGGATATCATTGTTCAATCATCCATGAGCCAAGTCTAAGTTATTTAAGATCTAGAGGCTTAAAATCCTAGAAGCACATCTCTTAGGGGATTGATTGATACTGATTGCCTGAATGTGTGCCATCAAGTTGTTGTCAACTCTTAGTGACTACATAGATAGATTTCTCTTATGGCAACAACAATTATAAGTTAATAGTTTTTTAATTGTCTTCTTCAGAGCCCAAACAACTTGATAATAAAGTTCTAATACAGTTTAACTTTTGGGGAATTAGCAAATTTGGAGAAAGAACAACTCTCTGATTATTTGCTGAGTTGGGGTACAAGGGGTTGTTTGAACCAAGCCATGAATCAAGAGTACTGATTGCTTAATAGTGTTGACATGGGGGGGGCAACAATTCAAATCAAAGTCATCTTTCCTCATCTCGAAATGATGAGACAAGAACTGAAGCTAGAAATTGGGCGGAGGAGTACGGGGGATCAAGGAAAGCACCCACTTGTGCTGACTACAATAGCAGAAATAAAGAGCTAAAACTTACTTGGAATTATGACCAGCCTAGTCCCACTTCCAAAGATGACCTTATAGTTGCCATTGTGATACCCAGTGCTTTCTGCCTTGACAAAAACATGTCTTCCTATTTGTATCAGCAATCATAACTTTCTTGTAAAAAACTAAGTCTCTAGACTTGAGGATGAAAATGTCAAGGACTGCAGATACTGGAAATCTGAAGGATCTTCCACCCTAACCATGTCATGATATCATCATTCAATCATCCAGTAGCTGAGTCTAAGTTATTTAAGATCTGGAGGCTGAAAATCCTAGAAGTCCCTCTCTTAGGAGATTGATTGATCATGTGCCATCAAGCTGTTGTCAACTCTTTATGGACACATCGATAGAGAACAAACAACTTCAAATAGATAGATTGATAGAAGTAACCTAGTTCTACTTCTACATACCATCTTTTTATTGTTATTAGACACACAACAGAAAAATCCTTCATAACAAAATAGTACTACCTTATTTTCCTAGATTGGTGTCCTCCAGATGTGTTGGAAAAAAAGCTGTAATACTTCCCACCCAACTTGGGGAAGACTGACCTACTGCTTCCTTTCTTTTCCTTTGCTTTCATGTAGGACCTGATTCCATATATCAACTGTGAAGTTTAAGAACCATGAGAAAATGCCATCAATCCCCAGAGCATTGGCAAAATTTGCTGCAATAAAATCACTGACTTTATATAATGTAATTATATAATGTAATTGCACTGACTAGAATAGCAGGGATGAAGGGCTAAAACTTACTTGGTATTACGACCACCCTAGTCCCATTCCCAAAGATATTATTGTAGCCACCGGTAGAGTCGACACAGTGCTTTCTGCCTTGACAAGAACATGTCCTCCTAGTTGTATCATCAATTATAACTTCCTTTTGGAAAGCTAAATCTCTAGACTTTAGTATTAAAATGTCGAGGAATGTGGCTACTGGAAATCTGAAGCATCTTTTGGATATCTGTACATATAAAATTCTTTTCTTTGGACTCTATTTTCTTCAGAAGGGTGAATCCTCATGGCCATTTCCACCCCATAATTTCAAGACCCTTTTCAGACATTCCTAGACTCTTACTTACTCTGCAATCCAATTTATCTGTTCAGAAAAAGCCCTCATAAATATATTGAATCACAGCTTCCTTAAAAGAGCAAAGGTTTCATGGCATCCTGCAATCCTATATTCATTCCTCTGCAAGGAAGCCTCACTGCATTCAGAGCCCCTAACTTCTGAATAAACATCGAGAGAATGACTGTGTTAACCTGTCACTGTCTCTTTATCAAAGAAGTTTGGGAAAAGAAGGAAAAAGCTCTAGATTCCAATGGAATATACCGATCAGATTGTCTAAAGAAAAGAAAACACAGTTCAGGATACAATTTTCTGATATTTTTCATTTTTTTGTATTCGAAACTGCCCAGAATTCTTGGCAGTCAATCTTCCAAAACGGGAGAATAACTGGGAAATAGCAGCACTCCCTTGGGACTTTGCCATTGGAAATAAATATTTTAAGCATAAATAGCAGGAGAGGGAAGCGCACAGAACACACTTACAGGGTAAGACCTGCAGCTTTGTCCCAGATCCAAAGGTAACCCTGGTTCCCTAATTTGCACAGGCTCTTTGCTTTAGCATGAAGTCATACAGGGATACAGCTGGGACTGTCCCCATCTACAGAAAGGGCTTTGTGTCTTCTAGGATGAGGCAATGCTCCCGGTGTTTCCCCAGCGTACCTTGTTGGGTTTGCAACTTGACAAAAACATGGCAACATTGCCCAGTTAACAGCAAGGGGCCCGTTCTGTTACAATAACAGCGCCCACACCTACATCTTCCTAAGTACATGCTTTCTCCTATAATCGCTCCATAGTTCACAGATCAACTTGTGGCTGTAAAGCTTCTAGTTCAAGTATTAGTTGGAGTCAGTTAGGACACCTACCTGCTCTTACACTTAACTTTGTTCCAGAACCAAAGACAAACGTTGGGATACGAAAAACCACAAGAGAATCTCATTCAATTTATTACCAATACTGAAACTGCCCACTTCCTCTTTAGCTCTAAGTGCAAGATCCAGTTCTATCCTACCTGGATTGGAACATATAAGAGTCGTATGTGCCGATTCACATGCATTTCAATGCATTTGTTCTGTTTGCATATATCAGGAGTCTCTTTCAAACTTGCTCTGTTCCCTAGTGGGAATTGGTAGCCACTGGAAGCTGGACTGGGCTCCCAGTTTTCCCTTTGCAAAAATGACAAATGAAAATTGCTTTACGTTTCTCACTCTGTCCTTTTCCCCATTCTCAGTTTCACATCCCCATTCATACGAGTTGCCCAACCATTTCAGCCATAAAGAAAACCCATGCATTAAAATATTCATTTCGATATGGTTATTTATATACTGGTGAAATTTAAGCTCTTTGCTGAGAAAGATTCATCAACTGGATTGAAAATTTCCCCTCTCGTTGGTCTTAATACAGGATTAGGGTTAAGGTATGGAGAGCAGTTTTGAAAATCTTTACAATCCATCCTTTCTATCTACCTTCCTCATCACTTGACAATTATTCCTTTTCATTTTCAACTCTCTTAGGCAAAGTCTTCTATGGTGTCTTACCATAATTCAAATACAGACTGATAGACAAGAAGTACCTGTTTTTACTATTAACTCTGTTCCCTTTCCAAAATGAAGCCTGTAGTTCGTACTTGTTAAAACACAGTCAATGAAGGCTTTACAGAATTGCAAGCCCCTCCCATCACCATTGGATCCTTTTTTTGTAGGACAGCAGATTTTGAGCTTAATGTTATATGATTTGGAATAAAACTACAGATAGTCCTCATTTAGCAACCACAATTGGGACCTGCCACTTGGTCATTAAGTGAAGCAGTCGCCAAGTAAAACATGATTTTACGATATTCCTTCAGCTTTCCTTTGTTTTACAGACCTGTGAAGGTCATAAATGTGAGGATTGGTCACAAAGTTACTTTTTCATCACTGTCATCACTGTGAATGGTTACTAAATGAGCCAGTCACTAAATGAGGGCTACCTGTATATCTAGTAATCTTAAGAATAGATGTAGTGAAATCTTATAAAGTCTTATTGACTTTATGGGCAGAGACATCCATAGGGATCAAACAATCAAGATGGTAACCACAACTGTGTGATGGAGCCCCACCCCTATTTATGCATGCCACCTCCATATAAAAAGGAGTGGGGGTTGATTGCACCATCACAGTTGCCATCTCTTCTTTTCTTGATCCTATCCATTGATTGGCCAAATTGACTTGTTTGATTAGAGAAAAGACAAAATCTATGTTTATTTGTGACTGGAAACCCGTGATGGACTTTTTGCATAAAAAAGAAAAGAAAATGAACTTATGATTTATGGTTTTGATGATTAGATAGGATAGTTTATAGAAAGAAAAGAGCCACGATGTAACTTCAGACAGAGATGTCAATTTATAATTGTACTTATAACTGCTGTAAAGAAGATCGGAAGCCACTTCTTTATAGCTTTTTTCTTTCCGTTCTATTTTTCTGCCACTCTTTTTCTTTTTGCACTTTTAGTTTCTTCTTTTCACTTTTCCTTTTTTCTTTTTCACACTAGTTTAGTTTGTATTAGTCGTATTCTTGTGTTTAAAATTTTCAATAAAATAATATAAAAAGGAAAAATGCAGGTCAGTCACAGGACACATAGGTACATCTCACATTATCTGTACAAGGACAATCAGAGGGAAGGGTCAAAAAAGTCAAAATGGCATCTGTGACTGCCCTTTTGAAATACTGCCCCCTTTTTTACATACCGTGCATATGACTTCTGTGTTCCAGGAGGGGTAAGAACTGTTCATAAGTAGAGCTGATCAACAATTATGCTCTTTTTTATAACAAGTTTTGGTCTATGTCACTAATTTCCCTGTTACACTTTTTATGGCAAAGAAAGACAGAGCTATTATTCTTTTGATAAGGACATTCTAAAGAAAACTGGGGGAGAGAAGGATCCTAATTCAATAACATGGAAGCAGAATAAATCAAAGCTATTCTAGAGTAGAAGACATGAGTTAAATATAGAATTATTATATTATAGAATATAGTATCTTATAGAATATAGAATTATTATATTATTATTAGGTCAACATCAGGGTTAGATCTTATTTCTATTCCTTCATCCAGTCCCTTCTGGAGGGAGGAAAAAAAGATAAAATGGAAAGAGGGCCATGATAGATTTGCTGTCAGGCCATTGGAATGTATGATGGTTGGAGTAAGGAATTTCATTATGCCATGCTATTGTATTTGGTTTAAAATTAAAATGAATGCATTCAATTAGATCAGGATTCTACAAATCAAATTATAATTAATAATCAAGGAATCTAACCCACTGACTCTAAAACTGATCTGTCTCCTCTGTCTTCTCTTGTTGAGGTTCAACCATCTTATATCAGTTTTTGTTTTGCAAGACAAATGTACAGGTCAAATGTACAGTCATGACACTCTGGTAAACCAATTATTGCCCTTGATGTCAACTGATAGTTTTATGTATTTCATTAAAATTATTATAGCCACCCACTCCAACAGACTCTAATTATTTTGTGATCTTGCCAAGAAATGCTTACATCTTATTTGATGGAATTCTGCAAATTTAAATCCACAAGACATTCAAAATGTGAAAAATCCTGCTCTAAAGAGAACAAACAAGACTAAGAATACAAGGAATATTCAGACGAGCAAACACATACATTTTCTCAGTGGCAGAAAGTAATAAAAGCCCCATTTAATCTGACCCCAATCAACTTCAACCTGTTACCACCCAGATGAATTGGATTGTAATTCCTATCTGATGATTCCCATCTAATAGCCTACATAGAGGAGGCCAAGTTAGAAAAGTGTGTCCTACTCACAAATAAGGACACTTCATGGAATTCAGTCATCTTGCTCCCAGATGGTTATGCATTTGATTGTAATTTAAGGCCTTGAATATCTTGCAAATGGTCTTCTCCATCTGTCTTTCTGCAAGTTTTTGATCTGCTTCTCTTCTGCCCACTCTCACCGTGGTACTCACGGCACAGATGTAGATAGCTGAATCATTCAATTGGCTCACCAATTTCTTCATGTTGAAAGTCTTGTTTGTTTTATTATGTAAGGCTTTGAAGTTTTGAGGGAGGCTAACATCTGGACTAGATATCAAAAAAGTACTCTGGAAAAGCTTAGGTGGTTGACCAAGATATTGAATGTACCAGAATGGGCTTGGTTGATAATCTACAGTTAGTTCATAAGTGCAACTGAGAAATACAGGTTGTCCTTGTATGGTGGTCACACTGCCTTCAGTTTGGGTCACAGTCATTCCAGCACTCTCTTCTGCAGAAGAAATAATAGTGGAAAAGGTTACATCAAATGGGCAGAATAGGTGAACCCTTATTACATTTGATTTTATGGCATCTGAAAATTTACCAGTCAAAATCTGTAGAACTTTTTTTTTTTTTTTCATAATTTCCACACAATGTGAAATTGTTCCTCTCTCTAGCAGTCACCATAAATTACCTTACAAGGATATCCCTAGATCTTTGTGTGTTATGCCATGAACCAGACCCATTCATAAATTCAGAAAGAGCTCGCTACCGAATCTTAGGCATGGACATCGAATTATCAAGAAAAAGAATAAATCAGCCATCACCTACTTAAAACCTCGTTTGCACACAAATTAAAAAGGTTTAAGCACTAGGAACATTTATGTAAAAAAAGTTTAAAGAGACCTGGATGGGGAGCAGAGAGAGAGAAGAAATGATCACCACTTACCCAAGATTAACAGCACCAATGTCCATGAAAGAAGCATCTTGCATGATCTACCAAAGAAAAATTAAGAAGGGATATAGAAGCAAAGCAAAGGAAATATATTTTGAGTGGCCTTTGAGATTTGCACTGCACTCAGTACCATATGAAACAGAAAAAGGCAACTTGTGATATCTAGTCAACTTGTCTTGTTAAGCAGTTCAAAAGAAATCTTCTGATGGTAGAACCCCATAGGATGTGGTTAGTGGTCACAGAATGCTTCTGTGAGTTGTAGAAAAGTTTGCATTTTACATTTATATAGTGACTAGTTCACCCTGAGAGTGGAAACAGCCAGACAACTACACCTTGTGTCTGAAAGTTACCCTGCCTTGCAAGTTTCAAACCAGAAATGATGAAGCTAACTGAAAGGTATCTCATTTTTCATTTGGGCAATCCAACTACCAAACACAGTTTTGTACCTGGGAAGATGGACTTTTGATAGTGAAGCATGGCTCTTTTCTTCAGGAGTTTGAACTCCATAGTTCAAGATGTTCCAGTAGGTAAACATCATTCAGACCAAAACTATATTTGTCCTCTAAGTAGTATGCAAAAGTCCATACATCAAAGACTGGAGGGGTTCAGAACAGGCAACATCAGGCACAGGTCTTAGCTTCTGTAAGTAGTATGTGGATGGTCTCTTAACTAAGAAAACATGGCTGGGGAAGCAGAGAATGAAAACCTATGAGAATGGCACTGACCTTCTTAGAAATTGTGGAGTACTTCTCTTTTAGAAACATCTTATGGGAAGCTAACAGAAGTTATGAAGAACTGGTGGACGTGAGGACTCCTTGCTTTCTATGGGCAGGTTCAATGGAAATTAGTTGTAGGAAGGTTGGTTCTTCCTGAATGTGAGAATAAGGACCCAGAATGGTGGCTTTAGACATAAGAAGAGGCTAAATAGGCCTCTGTTTGGGATGCTTTAATTTAGATCCCTGCATTGAGCAGGGGATTAGAATCCATGACCTCAGTGGCCCCTTCCAGTTCTTCAATTCTATATTTTCTCTGCCTTACAATTTTTGGGTGATTCTCCTATGCAGTCTATGTTTGGTGTATTCTATATTTCAGTTTGTTCAATTTCTCTCTTTTTCCATTCATCCTTTGAAGTTTTTGAAAGGTTTTCCATTTTTAAACAATAGCTTCCTTTCAAATGCGTTGGTCTGGATTCACCGGACTCTTTAATGCAACACTCAGAGGGGATTTGTGCATGAAGCCGTCGGGGTGGGTAGATGTATTAAAATTACAAATTGTTGAACTTAATTAGTTTTTGAAATTATGCAACCAGGGGTGTTCCAAGAACATTGGATATCAGCCTCCAAACTAGATTGGCTACGTACAGTCATGTGGAAAAGAAAGTACACCTTCTTTAAGTTCTTTGGTTTTACATATCAGGACATAATAAAAATCATCTAGTCCTTAGCAGTTCTAAAAAGTAGGTAAATACAACCTCAGATGAGCAACAACACATGACATACTTCACCATGTCATCATTTATC